TGGGTGGTACCTTCTTTGGGTCTTGAAATCCCTTGCGACTCAGATAAACATAATGGGCGCTGCTCTGAGCAGGATGCAAAGTTGCACACACCACCAGCCTGCGGATGCCATTTCCAGGAGCTCACAGAGTCCCCGAGCTGGCTGATGGGCCGGGAAGGGTCCCTGCCCTGACAGAATGCAGGGCTCCTGCAGGGGGTCCCTGAACTGCCCATGGAGGTCAGCAAAGGGCCTGAGCAGGGAGGGCACAGAGGAGGCTGGACAGAAGAAAAGGCAGGGCAAGGGCACTGGGGTGGGGGCGGAGGTGGGGCAGGAAGGAAGGATTTGGGGTGGGGGTGTGAAGGAACCCAGGAGAAGCTCAGAGAAGAGCTGAAAGGGAAAGGGGCCAGTCCTTGGGCGAGGTCTAAGGCCGGCCATTGCCTCGGGTGGTCTCCGTCCAAATTCCGGTCCTGACCCCTGGGCAGAGGAGAACTTCCCCCCGAGAGTAGAGAGTTCTAGAAACTGAGAAGCCAATTCAAAAATAGCTACAAACACACAGGGGTGAGTGTCTGCTCAGAGCTTCTGGGGCGCACGGCAGGGAGTTTATTCTGGCCTGTGTGTCCCGGGCCCTGCACACCTCACCGCCCCCTCGCCACCCCGTCAAGAAGAGGAGAGTGCGAGCTCCTGAGGTTCCGGTGGCCTCTGGAAGGGGGTCCTCAGAGGAAACGACATCCCCACAGAGGCTGGCATGGGAAGGGGCCTGAGGGTGTTGGACTGAGGTCAGTGAGAGCCACTCTGCTAGTTGGACAAATTTTGATGCAACTATGTCCTTAAACATAGTTCTGTGGACTTCATTTATTATTCGTGAGAAATGCAGTGTGACTGCTGGGTCACCCATTCTTTCAGCACGCACTCGCTACACACCTGTTGGAATCAGAGCCCCTGCGAGACAGCGACACACAAAGGGGCCGACTCACCCATGGCCACAGCCCGCAGGTAGGGAAACCCGTGTGAGTTTCTCCTCGGAGTCTACCGCTAGCCATTCCTCGATGCAAAAAGGAGATTCTAATTTTAATTCTGTTTCACCTAGGGTAGTTTCTTCCTTAACTTCCTCCATTCTCTGTAATGTATTAAAAGCAGGAGAGTTTTAAATTCATACTTTGTCAAGTAGCTCAACTTCTAGGAACTTTGGTTTCTCCATCTGCAAAGTAGAGATTATAACCTCACAAGGAAGTTGTTAAAAGAAAGTGTCAAATTGTGAAAAGTTGGTGGTAATGTGCACACAGGTTGAAACATAATCAACACCCAGCAAGTTGTATCCATAGCGCCACTGGCATTCCGCCAGTGCTGCCCTTCCTCCCATCACGCCTCATCCCTCTTCTCTCCTGCCCTTTTCTTCTGCCACCTTCCTCCTTCATCTTCCTTATTCCATCTTCGCCAAAGGTTTTGTGTTGGCAGCCAGATACTTCTTCCTAAAACACACTTTTCTCCTCGCCTGCTTAAAACAAGCCAGCCACTCCCTCGGTGGCTCCCGGGTGTTCACCAAATAAAAGGCACGGATGCTGCTGTTCCATGTCCTCCCATCTCACCTTTCTCGTCACTTCCATGGTGCCTGGAGAGATACTCTGTCCTCCTGTCAAATTCATTAGCGCCGGCTTTCGGATCCAGTTCATCCTTCAGACCTCCTCAGAGTCTGCGTCTTGTCCCTCTAACTGGGTCACCCCTTCCCAGCCCATAACAGACACTGAAGGCCTAGTGTCCCTTCTGTAGCATTTATGAGACATTGAAACCTACTTTGGTAACATTATAGGGTAATAATTAAAGGCATAGGCATTGAGGCCAGACAACGATGGTGATTAATTCATAAAGTACCTTAAAAATAACACAGAATCATTGTAAAGCACCGGATAAAACCCAGCTTTCCTTGGTATCATTGCGTGTGTTTCTTATTTCTCTACTAAAATGTTCCTCCATGACAAGGACCTTCTGGTGTGGGTCGTACGCTTCACCCGAGAACTTCTGTTAGATTTCCAGGTAGAAGTACTTGCTCCCCAACTGATTTCGTACAGGCTCTGCTTTACTTGTTTTTATGCTGTAAGAGGTGAGAATTTCTTCTTTGTAAGAAATACGCTGATCACCATGATTGATGTATGATTTCAGGATATAGTTTTGTACTCAACTCTTTATTAGTGTTGATTAAAAAAACTCACCCGTTTACAAGTCAGGGTATGGATGTGAATGAACAGTTGTTATGAATATCACATCAGAATTATAATGAATACCCCACTGCATGCCTTCATGCCAACAAGCTCCAACTCACTTGTTAAGAACTGTTTTGAAATCCTTTCATATATGCCCCTTTTCTTGCCAAACCTGTTTTTCATAATGATTGGAAGGAGGTTGGGCTGCTGAAAAGAATACATTTTATCTGAGGATCTCAAAGCACCTGGCAAGTTCCCTCCATTTTGTGGACTGGGGAGTGCAAAGTTCGCAGCAGTTCCCTGCATTTCCCCAGGCAGCCCTGCCCTCCAGGAAGAGAGCTGGCAGAACATATTGTCTTCCAGAATATTCCGGGTTTTCCTCGGTAATTCGTCTTATGGCTGTTGTGACTGCGTAGCAGTCAGAATCCCCCTCTCACCTTGCCTGATGAAAAGATGGGGGGGCAAATTCATGGCCTACCTGGAGCAATGGGATTGGACTTGACTATGGATTTCTTATTAGCTTTTTTTTTCCTGATCCTATTTTTTTTCATTCTTTTTTACCCATTTTCAATTGAAGACATCTTGTTTGCATAGACTTAAACACCTTAAGTCAGGGGTCCTCAAACTATGGCCCGCGGGCCACATGCAAATACAAATATTGTATTTGTTCCCGTTTTGTTTTTACTTCAAAATAAGATATGTGCAGTGTGCATAGGAATTTGTTCATAGTTTTTTTTTAAACTATAGTCCAGCCCTCCGACGGTCTGAGGGACAGTGAACTGGCCCCTGTTTAAAAAGTTTGAGGACACCTGCCTTAAGTCTTTTCAAACAAGATGGGCAATGTGTACAAAGCTAATTTTCACACGGTTCCCATATTTTTGGAGGCCGAGGCAGGCTGCATAGCTGACACACAGGGCTTCAGGAAAGAGCCACACTTGGGTTTGAATTCCAGCTTTGACACTTTGGACCAGTTATTTAACCTTTCTGAGTTCCTGCTCTGTAAAATGGAAATAAAGCTCCATAACTCACAGAGATGTCTTGGGGATTAAATAAAATAACTTGTGTAAATTACTTGGTGCATAGTAGGCATTCAATAAATGTCAGTTCCCTTCTTATCCCCGTTAATAATGCTTATTAGACTATATTAAAAACTAGAACCAGACTGTGATAATGCATTTCTTTATTACGTATTTAAGCCAAATAACTAATTTCCCTCAGGGGGAAGGGAGAGATATGCTGAATTAGTTTCATTTTGTGAACTTACTTATTAGTCTTTTTTTTTCTTTAGCATTATTTAGTTTCATACTCTGTAATTTAGTTTTCATGCAACAAAAATGTCACAGTTCCTATTCCTTAACTCTACTGCGATTAAAAACAATCTATTATTACACTGGCCACTTATTCAAAATCATTATTAATGATATTAACAGCTCGACTGTGTTTCATAAGGGCTCGGTGCTGACGGACTTTTGCCCTCAACAGCTTCCCTGAGGCCTGAGGATTTGAGAGGATCAAGTTTTAAATGGCAACCTTACAGCAAAAGGAAGACAGGGATGGGGAGACCCTCACGGTCTGTGTGCTTTCCTGTTAATTCTATACGCTTGCATTTAAGTGCAGCCACGTTTTCTCAAGGACAGGACCTCAGAGAGGCAGGCAAGCCCAGGAGGAGCTGGCTAAGGAGCGGGGACCATTGCACCTTTAAGGACCCAGTCTCAGCTCGGCCTCCTCCCCGGCCCACCTCTGAACCCTGATTGACAGGGCGCCGGGGAGGAGCCCAAGGAGGCCCCGGAGGAGGCGCGGCAGGAAAGTAGGGAGGAGGGACCGTCTTCCCTCCAGTGGCCAATCGCAGAAGGGGGCGTGTCCCCCCGTCTCTCAAAGGGCCAATCAGCACAGGGGGCGTGGCTCCTGCATCTCCTCCCTCTCACTGTCCTCCGCCTCCTCCTCCGCCCCTCCCCCTTCGCGGCCCCCCTTCCCTTTCCTCCTCCTCCTCCTCCTCCTTTCTTCTCCTCCTCTTCTTAAAGAATACCCTCAACATTTCATGTAATATTGGTTTGGTGGTGATACATCATTGGCTGCTACCTACACACCCCTTAGCGGGGATCAAGCCTCCAACCCAGGTATTTGCCTTGACCGGGAATGGAACCAGCTACGGGACGATTCTCAACAAACTGAGCCACATCAGCCAGGGCCATATATTTCTATTTTATTCAATGCATTCCAATCCATTATCATTATTATTTAGCCGGTGGGGGCTGGGGCCGGGGGGGGGGGAAAGTTTGCCTCGCAAGCCCCCTGCCTGGCTCTGCCTCCTCCCGATCGCTGCCTGTTTGCAAAGGGATTAAGCCGGCGATCTGAGCGCGCAGCCCTTGCCTGCCCGGAGGAGCCGGACTGCACGCCCTGAGCCAGCTCCGATTTCTTGCGTCCAGTGGGAAGGTGGTTTATTTTCCTTGCTCTTTGGAGTCGACAC